TCTCTCTCTCTCTCTCTCTCTCTCTCTCTCTCTCTCTCTCTCCCTCTCTATCTCTTTCTCTCACGAGTGCGTAAAAATAGTTCACACGTGGCAGCAAAAAAGTCCCCCTTTAACATTTATCCTGTTTTTATAGGATTTATTTTTAACTCGTCGTTCACTGCAACATACAAAAAGCGTGAAGCTTAAGCTTAAAACATTATGATGTGTTGACTATGCCTGACAAACGTCCCACAATCCCAGGAAATTTTTATAAAAATATCAAAGAAGAAATAAAAATGATATCTTTAAAACGTCGAATGCCCGATTTGTAGCGACTTTGAGGCGTTTTGATTAAGACGCCTTGCGGACCGATTGAGATTAACTTTAGACGCGAGCATTTGTCACGAAATTGCATAGATCAGATTGTAAAAGTGCTTTTACCTCTTTGGGAAAATCCTTGGTTCTATATTACTATACATTTTGATAGAAACGTTCGTTACAAAGAAATACGTATTGAAAAATCAAATGTTTTACTGACCGATTTCTTTTGAATTCTTTATAGAGAACCTCCCTTCTTCGTATCGATCGCGTAAATGGACATCGGCAGTTGACATATACCGTGGCTATGTTTCAAAATTACTGACGGCGCTGAAAGTCTACAGCATACATGACATAAACTATGGCTTTTCAGCGCTGGCGATGAATATTGAAAGACAGCCCATGTCAGAGATATCAATCAAATAAATTCTCAACGAAATCTTCCTTAGTAAAAAAAGTTGTTAGAGAACGATTGAGGACAATAGTATTTCTATCAATTTGTATTGTTTTCTATAAATTCTATCGTTCGCAAGCGTTAGCATCTTATCATATTTTATCTGGTTCTATAAGAATTGGGTTCTATTTGTATTATATAGGAAACTGACGATAGAAATTCTATCACTATCTATTGTATTCTATCGTATACGATAGAATACTATTCACATTTGTGAATTTACGAGCCAAAATCCATATTCAATAATTTTATTCTATCATTCTTTATCAACTTTTTTTCCCAAGTTTATTACTGTTTGTAGAAAAAGCGTTTTTCTTGAATTAATATTAATATGTTAGATGTCATGTAGTCAATATTCTAAATTGAAATATATTATTCCAATTTACAAATTGGAGAATTGAGAGAAATTAAATAAATTTATAAAGCTTAAGATTGTTCCTCTTAATCTTGTTGAGAGAGAAAGAGAGGGTGGGGGAGAAAAAGAGGGGAGAGAGAGAGAGAGATTAAAATACTTTTTAAATAATCTCATTATTTTCAGTTTTGTCGAAATTATAGTTCGTTTAATTCTGCATCGTCTACTTATCGTATAATAGAAAAATGTTTAACTCGTCATTGGGTCATACTACTTAAGAAGAAAAGAAGGCGGCTGACCTGTGATTGAGTTATACCACGTAGGACTCCAACTTAGTGCTGCAAGATCGGGAAACTTTTGATGCGTTCGCTTTGGACGCTTACGCGCTTAAGCGTCATTCTATCTTTATCACTTATTACCTGCGGGAAAAGACAGAATGATGCTTACAGCGCAAAGCACCCAAAGCGAACGCACCAAAAGTTTCCCGATCTCGCGGCACTGCTAAATAAAAATAATGGGTCTAATAAACATAACGAATCAAATCATTGAACATTTTTTTTTATTGCCAAACTATGACTAAAGTGGAGACATCGGAATTAATAAAAATAATGGGTTTAATGGTCATCTGAGGTCAAAATACTGTATATTCCTTTTTTGATTAACTATTTATGTGATATTCTTTCAAAGTTTGAAATAATAGAACAATAACGCGACAGAAAAGACACATTCAACAATAACGCCATTATATTTCACATCCAATGTATTTACAATGACACATAATCGTGCGACATACAAAAATATATTCATTCGCGACAAGCGTGTGTAGAACACTCGACACAGACACATAATGAGGTAGAGATAGTCACGATATGTGTATATATGTGTGTGTAATATATACATATATTCTGTTCAACAATGATACTTTAAAATAGAATCTCGCGTGATCACGGCAATTCGCTCCCGTAGATTATACGATGATAAAAATATATCTGTATACATGTATTCTTGCTGAAAGCGTTTCGCTGTGCTCCAAGCGTTATCCTGCCGCGAAACCGAACGCGTCGAAGCGGCATTTTGTACTCTTCGGTTTCCTTGCGATTGCGCACAGGAAGCAACACGCGTAATGACTTCCAAAAAATATATATTTCTCGCATGCATATATTTTGCTTAAAGCACGATTGATTCGCCTCTCCTGAAATTCCTCACGGTCCCTCCTTTGCACTAGATTTCTTCTTCTTGCTCTTACTCACTCTGGGACTATGATCCCAGCCGGCCGAGAGCAGACTGATTTTCGACGACTGCGCGGGGACGACGTGCTTGCCTTGAATCTGCAGCAGACTGTCGTGCTCACGAGCCGCGTAGGCCGATTTGGGAATCGTAGGACGCGAAATGGGACTTAACGATTTCCTGCTGCAATGTAGAACAGTGGATGACGGTGCCTGTGACCTAAAACATGCGAAATGACTAAGCATTATTCGCCTTCAAGTTTCCAGATTATGCTTAAAGGTACTTTGGCTTTCCAGCAAATTGCTAACACACCTGTTTTTACTACTAGGGAGTCTCGAAGTATCTATGGGTGCGAGCCGGACATTTTTTGGCCAGACAGCAGGACAAACAGGAGCTTGCCAAGCGGAATGAATATCAGGATTTCTCAAAGACGACTTTTTCGCGGAACCTCGAAAACCTAACACGTTCCGAGCGGATCCTAAAATATTAATACGCATTACATCGATATTAAAAAATTTTAGTTAATTATTGCCAAAGTAGAATGCTTTTTACCTCGGAAGGAAGAAATCTCAAAATTCTCGCCCATGAACCTAATTGGAGTGTTTTTTAATGTAGAGAAGCTTTCTCGTGTGGATACCGCGAAAGGCACAGGGGTCACGACAATCCTCTCGTTAAAGACTGTGCCGAGTTTATTCCTGCCTATATGTGGCGTGCATAGCCTCTCTTTGGTTTTTAACGCATCATCATCACCCACACCTCCATAGTCTTTTGGCTTACTCGCAGAAACTGAATTCCTCTGTCTTCTAAAATCAGATTGTATAAAAAAAGAACTTACATTTGATGTTTTTCTTTTTCTTTTTTAATTTTACTTACTTTTGAACTGCTTGATAATTTGTGTCATTTTTTATTGTCTGAAGAGAACTTTCTGTATCTAGTAATCGATTCCTTATGCTCAATGATTTGTTCTCAATATAATTAGGTGAAACAGCTTCTTCTGCCCAATTTGTCTTCGTGCTTTTTGATGAGTTCCTATTACTATGAAGGGGAGCAGGAGTTATCTTCAAAGTATCACTTAAGCTTTCGTGCAAAGAATCTGTGTCATCCTCTTTGTCAGGGAAAAGCTCTGGTACTATGTACTCCATCAGCAAATCAAGGACTTCTTCAAATTTTGCTTTGTTTAATTTATATTGGGTAGAATTCTCTTCCTCCTATAAATTATATAAATAAATGTTATAGATATACCATATATTACTATATTATATGTACTATATTGTATAACACATATTATGATATGTATGTATTATAGAGATTTATAACATTTTCCTAATATAATACTATTATATAGTACTTCTGAAAATATTATAGATATTATTAACTTATTTTGTATATTTTTTTACCTTAATTGAAAGACTACGTTCCATGAGTACCTCATCATTTTGTAAATTGCCCAACTTCTTCCTTGCTTTACCACTAGAGCAAATGTCAAGCTGTGCTTTGTTATTAATACCAGCTGAATTTCTACCCATTAACCTCAAATATGGTATCTGTGTTCTCCATTGTATGCACTCATCCAAGGCAGGTCCCTGAGGCAGCTCGTCATCCTCTTCATAAAAAGATCTTTCCACAGTAGCCCATTGCTCCTCCAACCTCTGGGTTGCAACATTCTCTGCTTCCTGTGACCAAGAGACAGAGGTAGCCGCGCTGTTTCCAGTGGAGAGAACATTATCGTCATCCTTCCACGATTTCCTTCGCGGCAAGCTGGGCAAGCTGGGCAACTGGAAGCGACCGCTGTTCTCATTATCAAGCCCACTCTCTTCATTCTTGAGCCTCAGCAAATGCTGTGGGGCCCTTATCTTCTGTGTCAGTGGACTGAATCTGCAAGTTTCACCAATCATTTATCGTTTTGTACTTTTCAGGCACTGTATAAAAGTCACAAGAGAGCTCACGTGTTTTTCCTGAGACTGTTCTTACGCATCTCATGCTTTCTGTAGCGACCCTTCCATCAACGAGATACGATCAGTGACGACCCTCTGCGCAGAGCCACACAGACCGTAATCTTCCACAGGCAGCGCGAAAACTTACTCCTGCTCCGCCAACTCCTGACATTCATAGTGTCCGGATTTCTCAGAGGCGCAGTTACATCGCCGCCGCACGCTCCTGTCATTCGTAATTCCTTCACTTTACGCGTGTCTCGTGCGAGACATTATCGATTTTTCTCTAACTATCACTGAGTAGTATACATACAACCGTAAAACATAAACTTGACGTTTCGCACGTATCGAACACTGCCGATAGATGTCAGCACAGCCACGTCACGCGCACAAATAACATAGACGCGACGCGTGCGAACCGAAAATGCCCGGGACATGATGAAATATAAAGGTGTACCAGTCTCGTGGATGCGCAGTCATCCAAAATAATAGCCAATCAAAAATGACCAGGAATGTTAGAATCCAATATGGCTGCTGGCACTACACCACTGAAATATATACTATCTGGAACGCACGCTACCTCTTGAGTGTTGCGAGATGAGAGAGAGCATGCTTGTAGGTTTAAAACAGCACTCTATCTTTGTCTAGTACAGTCTGAACTAAAAGCTAAGTCGGCTGATTTCTAAACATAAGCTGAATCTCCGAATTAGGAATCTTCTTTGTTTTTCTTAATAATCAGTCGATAAGTGAATACTAATAAATGAGAAAAAATACATATTTTTTTTATATTTTAAACTTTCGTTCATAAGCTTAAGTCATTGCCATTCAGTGGTCACTGCTTTTCATATTATCTCTAACTTTTAATTTGGATTGTATCACATTCTCCCCACTCTATACTATGAACCAGACAAGGATAAGAAAGAAAACAAAGAACCTCTCTCTCTCATCCCGCACGCCTCAAGAGGCAGCGCGTGTTCCAGGTAATATATATTTCAGTAGCGGCACGAGCCGGCCGTTACGACGATCCGTTTACCTTTATGGAGCCTAGGGTTTTTTTGTTAGAGCCGTTGCCCAGGTGTTATTACCGATTATTCGATCATCATTATTTCGTTATTATCCACTCGCGGATATTATCACACAATTATCGAACAGATATTATTATCACTACCATTTAATATTCGAGTATTATTACTTCTTTATTCGATTATTTAATTTATTCGGTTATTATTTATTCGATTATTTAATTTATTCGGTTATTATTTAATTATTGCTATTACACATAGGAAAGCAACTCGGGCGTGCCGTTACGACAATTTCTTTACCTCGTCTTTAATCAGTTATTATTGCCGTTGCCTAGTTATTGTTATTCATTGTTATTACCGATTATTCGATCATCGTTATTCCGTTATTATCCACTCGCAGATATCATCATTTAAATAATAAATTAATTTAATTTATTGTATATTTCGGTTTTTCTAAACAACAAATTCGAATCAATATTTCGTTCTCAAGATCCTTATCTACTTTTCTAGCATATAATCTTCGATTTATGTATGCTACAATATTAAAAATATGTAGTTATCAACATTATCTTTGTCAAACTACCAATTTCGACGATTTGACGTGGATTTTACAATTTGATCATCCATTCTCCTGTGAGCATGAGATCCCAATTGTCTTTGTTGAGCTGTTCTACCTATCTTGCGTTACCACTTGCGCGTTTGCGCTCACGTATGTGGAAATCAGAGCAATGCAGAAGATATAAAATACGAAACGCATCCTAGCAAACGACATCTTTCCTGTAATAACTTTTATCAACATTCCCACATAGCACAAAAGTCAACGTTATTATTGTTAGAATGTTGACAGAATATTTACAGTAAGTTATATTTTATTGAATGTCAATGTAATGTTATATTAATGTCCAATATTATAGAGTAGCAATGTTAATATTACTGAAATATTGGGGTAACGTAGCAAAATAGTTACATTTTTGTAATAGCAATATTATATTGCAGTAATGTACCAAATGTATGTATGAAAATTTAACGTGAAAGCAACATGTTGTACTATATTGATGTAACATTGCCTGCTAAGATTGTATTGATTTTGAATGCATATATAAATATAATATTTTCATATAATAAAATTTATATCATGCGCATATTATTCGAAGATGCGCAGAGAAGACACATACGAAGATCGAAATATGCACAACAAATATATATCATAAAATAAATATATATATAATTACAACATTTGTTCATACTGACTAAATATTTATCCACATAGCACGTAATATTACATTATATCACAGTAATATTTCCGTAATATTGTAATATCGCAAAAATATTACGGAAATATTACTGTGATATTATATATATTACGCGTTATGTGGGTAGTTATATTCACCAAACAATTTAGTTGAACATATTATTGAATTAAATCTTAGTTACTATGATTAACGTTTTTCAGCGTGGCATAATATGTTTAATGCATATATGTTTATATATGGAAAGTATTATATGTTCTTCATGATTTTGTTCCTCTTTCTTATATTTTATCATAATTTTCAATAAAAATGAAATATATAAAGGATATACATTTTCTTTTCCTTTCTTTTAATATTATCCTGACATTTTATGGTATTAAAAGTAATATTATTTCCAGCACAAAGCAACATTAAATGTAATATTGACCAACCTTGTATTAATATTTGGTTGCATAATTTCTTTAATGTTCCGGAAAGTAACATTTTAAGATCAGAATAACATTCTTCTCACATTTACAAATGTTACTCAAATATTTTCCCTAACCATATTTAATATTGCTTTAATATTTTTGTGCTATGTGGGTTTACCGGTGCCGTACTCAACGATAATTACCGAACAAATGTAATCACGATTATGCTTCGTAACGCCGACGATCGTGAATTGACAGGTAGAATACGATAACGATCATGATAGAAAATTCAGTTCACTTACGTCAGAGAGAAACCGGCAGAGAGCGGCCATGCTATACGTTTTAGCCGACATGAACTGTCCATGTTCTTAACCACACAATTATGCGCTTAGCACGGACACGAATTGCCAGAAAATGGGCGTAGAATGAACACGCAACAAATCGACACTTTACCGGCAGCGTCTGAAAGTGGGCGTAGGGAACGTAGTTCCACCTAAAAAATGAGTGCAGATGGCGCATCGAACCAGCGTGAAAATCGGTGTCGGCCGAAACGTATAGTGTGGCCGCTCTCAGGTTTCTCTTTGGTATATGTATGTGTGCGTGATGGCGCATGTCAAATCGCGTGTTAGCTGTCAGCTTATCTGGCCGTAAAGAAGGACTCCTTGCGATTTTGAAATGACATACGCGAGCTGTCCACGAAGATAAAGTACTCGGCATCCGGGATCATTTCGCCTTTACTTTACCTGGTGCCGCAGTGATGGCCGAATCGAACGGGCCGATTCTTCACGTTATCGTCGTCGGGTTTCATCACAAGAAGGGTTGCCAGGTAAACCGTGTCTCAATTAACCTGTCTCTCGGATCGCTCTCACGATCTCGGTTAGCTTTCTTACTGAACAAACGCGACTTTCCTCTCTGCCCGCCAGGTAGAATATTCGTTTCCACCCTTGGTACCTGGTGCGCCCAACGAGTGCCCTTTAGGATGGAAGTACTTACCCACCCTCGCACTGCCCGACGGCTCGCATAATTACGACGAAGACACGGTCTATTTTCACTTGCCCAGTCTCAATGATCCGAAACGCACAATATACGGCATCTCGTGCTTCAGACAAATACCAGTCGAGGTATGTGGGAGTATCTCGCGTTAGGTTGTCAGTAGCATTCAGCTGACTGACAAGTGGGATATCGTTGTGCTTGCAGAAATTAAAGAATCGTACATCCGACATAACCAGAGGCACTGTTCAGAAGTCGGTTTGCGTGCTGAGCACTCTACCTCTGTACGGGCACATTCAAGTGAAAATGGCCCTAATAACGCATGCTTACTTTGAGGAAGGCGATTTCAGCAAAGTGTCCTTGTTGGAAGATACCTATCATCATCTGAATTCATGTATGAGTGGTGACAGTCAGATACCACCGCAGATATTTGTCGGTAATTGCTGAAGAATTGTTTTGCAAGTAAATTCTGAGACCAGTGAGAAGCTAGATCGTACATATCGTGCACTGATTACTTACAGGCTTGTCTGCAAGAGACTTTATACTACAATTTCGTCATAAGGTATTGCTCTTGTTCAAGTTACTTTTACTTGAGAAGAGAATAGTCTTCTATCAATCACCGGTGCAGCCACTGTGTGCGACAATATTAACTCTACTGTCGCTGTATCCCGGTATGATAGAGCATGGTCTTCAGCAGGCTGCATGTGTCAGGTACTGTTACTTTGCTCAAGCTCTTTTCTCACTCATTCGATTAAAAAAGTCATCCTATGAACAAGTCACGTTCTCTTCAGACCATCCAGGCCAATGTCGCCAATTCCGACCTTTGACGAGGAGGAGATCTCGATGAACAATGTCGACTCCAACCTGTCCGCTCGTATCGTTCAGAACAACACGTCGGAAACGGAACGCGAGCAGTGCAATGACAACAGCAATCGAAATTCTTTGTGCATCAACGACAACAAGACCATTGAGTCTATGGAGGGCAAATGTATGGACGGCCTGCGACATGTAACTCTGCAGAAGAACAACAACGACAACGAGAATTTAAATATAAAGGTTATCGAAATTGAATCGGCACAAGAGTGCACCGAGTCTTACTTGGAGGACAGCAACTCCAAGTACTCGCCGAAGCCGAACGACAACGTCCACAGGGTACACAGTGTGAACGCCATCACATTGGGCACAGGCGACACAGATAACAGTTTACCGCGCGACACGAGCAACGACGCGCTCTCTGACGCGAGGTTAACGAACAACATCACGCAAATCGCGCACATCAATCCGGAACTCTGTGGTCTACCTTTGGAATTATTTACGAAGGTAATAAAAGAATTCCTATTGTATAATGTTATATGTTGTTGTTGGGCGCATTATATATCTCTATCACACAGAGAGAAGTAGATCAGTATTAATCAGTGCTGTAAGATAAAAACATTTATCGTAGGGATATCTCTGTTTGCCGTATCTGTCCTTGCCCTATCTGGATCTCTTGGGAGATGTCAATGTTAGAGGTTACATAGTAGGCGCCACGAATGTGCTGTTCAAGCAGAAGAAGCAGCTCATCGACGTGCTTGTTGAGGTGAGGCTATGAACCTAAGACTTATATTTTAACCGAACAGCTCGATTTACAATCTCACGTGACTTGCAACAGGCCGAGAACACGCGGATAGAGGCAACCGATCCCGATCTGAGGCGGCAGCTGCACCTCACCACGGAGGACCTGAGATTCGCCGATTACGTGGTGAGGCATGTGGCCGAGCCTCGGAAGGATATCTTCCTGGATGGGGTGGGATGGGAAGGTGGCGACGAGTGGATCAGAACGCAATTTCGCGTTTACCTGTTGAGCATGTTGCGCACTTCGATGCAACAGGACACCCGGCAGTCGGATCACTACAATGCGGCCTTTGTGGCTGCGTGGCGCACGACAAACAACTACAAGGCGTGGTGCAACGCCAGCAAGTCGGAGATACAGAATATCGAGCCCGGCCATCCCTTTGCCGGCCAATTGTCGGTGCAGGACATGAAATTACGACTGTCGCAGTAAGTATTATTCTTACGAAAGCACAAGTGTACAGTACGCGCGCGTGCACGCAAGAAAAAAGAAATGATTATATACCTTGTGCTTTGTAGTAGCTATTGATGACGTGAAAGTAAGAAACATTCGTTTGATGTATCGTTTCAGCACGATGCAGAATACAGAGAGTGGTAGAAAGTTGAACCAGGCAATGGCGTCGACCGGACGCGCGGTGGCTACCACTGGAAAAGCCGTAGGTGAGCTTTTGCACAACTTGTTGATTCAAATTTTGTTTAAATATATGTATATGAGAGAAAAAAATGTAATATAAATATAAAATAATATATATATTTTATATTTATATATCCATCTTCTCTCTGTCTCTCTCTCTCTTTCACACACACACAAATGCGTATCTTTGTTTCTACAAGGGGGAGCGCTGTCGCAAGCGAAAGGAGCGTTCTCTAACTGGTGGAGCACGCTGACGACGGTTCAGCCAGTCGATGAAACGAAGATCGACAATCAAACGACAAACATTCATCACACCGTCACATCCCACGTTACGGACAAAGAGTCCGTAGAAGATGAGGGGATAAACGTCTCAGCTACTCATAACACGGACATTACCGTAGGTCTCGACTAATATAAAAATTCATGCCGATGATACGAGCGAATGTAAACGATCGCAACTAAAATTACAAATACCAAAAGATACAAGACGCCACCACCATCACCACAACCACCGCCGCTGTCACCTCCACCATCACTACCACCACCACTACCATCACCAGTGGAGAATATAATATGGCGTAAAGATACGCGAAAAGCTACAAGCAAGAAGGAGATTGTCAAGAGACGCACGTATAATGCGATGTGCTCGTTAAACGGCCGAATTTTTTAGAGCACCTTAATTTTTAACGAGAGGAAATACATGACACGAGACACTCAGAAACTACGTACGTACAATAGAATTATACTAATGTGTGCTGCACAGCTTCACACATGAGAGAAGATTCGTCGAATCCGCAGGGTGCTGAGCAAACGCTGAAAATTACAGGCTGACGTATCGCTGATTTAAGTGTAAGTTAATATTCTATATTTCTTGCCGGATAGCTCTGTACATATCATTTCTATATGTCGTGTGAGAAATATGTGATATCAGTTCTTATTACACACAAAAGACACGTAACACAAACGGCCATGGCGATTGTTCCTCCCGCTTGACTCTCTCATATCACGATGAGGTCATTCCTTATAAATATCTCAATTAATTTTAACGTTTCCTATTAATAATGTAGAGTATTAGTACTTTCTTGTTTAGAAAGAGTATCCTTTGTACATAAACAATGAAATGACGCGACTTTTTATATTTATGCGCACACTTACGCGATTATTATTATTATTATAGTATATTTTCTCCGGCTTGGCGGATTATTTTTATTTAATTTATTGCTCAGAAATCAGGGAGGAAAGTAAGGAAAAAGGGAGGATATATCCTCCTTTGAGCGTATAAGAAAATGTAAGAAGAATGGCATATTTGACATACATGCCAAAATATATGTTATCTCAGTCGTATAAAAAATTTATAATATACATATATATGTGTGTGTATATACATGTATATATATACACATACATATATATATATTTACAGGGTTTCTCTCTCAGTATTTTGTATTATTGCGAATACAGTAGATCTATTATACGTAGAAGACACGAAAGAGATTCGGCACTAAGACAAACCGACGAGTGTCCGAATGCAGCATGTGAGCATTGTACATTGTTCCATAATTCATTTCACTAATCGTGTTATTGACAATATCGCTACCTCCATTTATTGTCGAGATTACACCGAGCGCGATTAGTTCCGTGTGTGACGTGGTCCTTGCAGTTGTCGATATATCAGTAACAATAGATTTCAGCCGCGATAGATAGTCATTAGAGTCTGACTCATTGTATCCCTGTATTCGTCGGAGGAAATCTTTTAGCACTGCGGAGATCGTGATGCAGATGATCATTCGTGGAAAGAGAAGGAGCTGCTGTCAGTCTTTGGCGGAATTACGTTTCTAAGCTTAGTGCACGTGGTAGGTCATTTATAATGCTACTAGCGTAGCGCCGTTGTGCTAATATACGTGTACTCGATTAAGGTAAGGAGTCTTTTCTTCGCTGCAATATTCGTAGGGTAAAACGCGAGGAGCATTTTTCTATGAGGGGACTTTGTAGTGCAATTACTTGTTTACATTAAGAGAGCAACACGATACTTAATACTCATTTGGTTCTCATACACGATACACTCTCTCGTGCTGTATGTGTGAGTATATGTATAAAACACGTATCGAATGTTTAAAACACTTTCCGTCAAACGCCCACATTTGGCACCGAATAATGTTCTCTCTCGCAGAATGCACAAATGCATCCTTGAAGAGAGTGTAAATTTTTAACCTGATTTCCAAATTGGAAATTTGAATTTTCATCCACTGAAAAATTATGTCAGAAGTTTGAACACAACTGTTTGTATAGCCGACACAATGTGTATCGGTTAAACGAGAATACGATCAAGCGAATTGTGCATATGTGCGTGTATGTGTGTGTGTGTCGCTTAATAGTTATTTAATAAAGGCAACACGTACGTAGAAATTGATGTGAGCTGTTTATTTCGGAAGCGATCGAGTGTGCCTGAAGCGCATCGATTAGGCACATCGCTGACATATCTCACTTGGATTTGTGTTCAATGTTCCGACGACGTAACGTAATAATATTGTTTTCAGAATAAACGGTTCACATGTGCCGGAAAGCGCGCTTAGGATTTAAGCTATTGTTGTAAGTACGTCGTATTTGTGATATTTAGTTCGTTTAGAGAGAACCTGTGCAGATCGATGCATCCACCATTGGGATACATTTTTTATTTTGTAAAAGCGCGGTGTGCCAAATGTGGAACGCAACATGCCTTCTTGAAGGAGAAGAAGGAGGCTCGGACGATCTACACGAATGAAAACGCGATAATTTGCAGTCAAAACGCAACGTGATAAGTTTAAGGACAACGACTAAGTTGCTAGTCAACGGGATGCGCATCAAACGCTCTCCACTTGTTTAAAATAAATCTTGCGACCGTTCGCCACTAAAAATTGAGCCTTCTTTGAAAAAGAATAAGCACTTTGCTCTACTCTTAAATTTTAAATTCTTTCGCTTTCGGTTATTTTGCTCAAGTAAACTATCTAAAAAAATCGTTACGTAAATTCTATATGACACACATTTACGCGTGAAAGTACACGTGGATGTTTTTCCGAGACTGCTTATACTTACGTCATGTACATATGTCCTATTTATTAAGAGAAAAAAGATATTTTCTTTTTTCCATCGGTTGCCATTAAGTTATCGATATATTTATGTATTTTTTGGTTCATCTTATAAGAAAACTAATTAGCTACCGGGATAAGTTGGCAAAATCGATTACTTCTATTGTTTTTTTAATAGATTTCAGAATCAATCCAACAAAGATTTCAAAACCATCTTTAGTATGTTTAAAAATCTTACTTGCTTAACTCAGTAACTTATTAGAAAATAGCAGGAATAATCTACTTTGCCAACTTACCCCGGTAGCCAACTAGCCCCGGTCGTCTCCCCTATACATTATGTATTTCCTTCAAAGTTTTGCCGCCGGTTCCACACGATTAAGCAAAAAATTCCATCTCGTTTATCGGCTATTATTGGAACCGGGCATAGCATAACAAAAAAATAACAGGATAGCGAAACGATTAAACGATCCTTGCATGGCTTTAGATATTATATTATAGCGAGAGAAAGAGAGAGAAAGTGATCTGAAATCTTAAGGCCACTTCCTGTTGGATAATTGAATATGTTTTCTATATTTATAATACAAGTTTGTACAGCTTATACATGGAGGTGCGTGTAAGTAAAAAGAGAAAGAGAGAGAGAGAGAGAGAGAGAGAGAAAAGAAAGAGACGAGATGTCGCGACCGAGAAACGATTTATTGTACTATGACTGTAAAGTACCGTCATTTGTCAAAATATACTAAAAAGAAATAATATATATCCGATGTATAAGTGTTTGCGCATGACTCTTTTAATTACAACACAGATTATAGTTACGCGTTATCAATCGTCGTATCAACCTACAAGTTATGGCTCGAGTGTATGGTCTCCGAGCACTTTTCACCATTAAGAAAGCCCGGATTGCAAATTGTGCCCCAAGTGTCCCCAAGTTCAGCTCGATAATTTGCGCTCCCCGAAATAACTCGGGACTCAATCGCGACGCGGGGCTATCCGCGCAACGTGACGCGCGCTCGCCGTTATGAATGAGCCCTTAAAGCTCCCGCTGCGGCGCGCGCGATAGACGCGGCGGAGGGGCAAAGAGGGGGGCGGTACACACGGGACACGAAACGGTGCGGCAGCTAGTAGGGAAACGAAAGCGAGAACCGGGGATGATCTCGCCACGAGCCGTGACTGGTCGGCCGATGCGCCGCCGAATAAACATCGTAGCTCACCGATAGTAGCCGAAGCGCCGTAAGGTGCCGCTCGGCTTGCGAGAGCGAGACGGAGGAGGTAGTGCGAACGCCATGGTGTTGTATGATTGGCAACGTCACTGTCGTCACCGCCACCGCCGCCGCCGCCGCCGCCGTCGTCGTCGCTGCTGCTGCTGCCGTTAAACTTCGCGTCGCGAGTGCAACAGACATCCGAGCAGGTCGCATTTCTCGAGGCGTCGATCGTGCGACGCGCGAACTTGTGATTCGGCCGATCGTTCCGGGCAGCTCGAGAGACAAACCGAAAGGAGAGACGGACAGTGAGTGAGTGAGTGAATAAGAAAGAGATAGAATAGAGAGAGAAGGAAAGAGGCAGTGAGAAAAGGTGAAGCGATAAGCGCGAGGGACGCGACGCGACGCCACGCTGTGTCGCCTTTTTTAAAAGTCTCGGTGTGTCTCCTCCGCGGCTGCGGAACCACCGTCGCTGCTCCGCTCCGCACCGCGTCGCGCGGTGCAGTGTGTATACGTACGTAAGAGGCCGCGTGTGCGCGCGCGCATGTGTGTATCCCGAGTGCCTCTGTGCTGCCCTTCTCTGTGTGTGCGTGCAGTGCGGTGTATGTATACGTGTGGTGTATCGGGAGGAGAGTGCGTTACGGTTCCTACGAGGTGAGCCTTTTAGTACTCGTACTGTCGGGTCAGCGAGCGTGAGTACGGACGACGCGCGCGAGCCGGCACCTAGAATCTCTCGCCCGTGTCATCGTTCGTTGTGTCGTGTTTCGTCGCATAATTTGTGGCTGTGTCGTAGCCGTCGTCCGTCGTCGTCGTCCGTCGTCGTCGCGAGTCGTCATAGCCGTCACACGTCTTGGTGTCGCAGTTAACGACCCGGTGTATCGTGACGCGGTGAGCCGCGGTATCCCCGAGTGATCCGCGGTGGCTTGTCGGGAAAGAGTGCGCCATGCGAGAGAGGGATAAATCGGTGACTGGCGGGCGGCGGCCATCTTCCAGATGAGTTTTTCCTCCTTTCTTCCGATAAACGAAGCGCGCTATGTCGTGAGGGAGAAGGACAGAGAAAGCGAGATATCGTAAAAGGGATCCAACAACGGAGAGGGAAGGAGGTAGCGAACGAGAAAAAGAGAGAGAGAAAGAGAGCGCGCACGAGAGGAAGACATACTTGAGAGACAGAGTGAGAAAGTGCGCAAGGGAAGAAGATTATCCGCGTCTATACCATGCGACGAGAGATGCGGTGAACGGCGCGTGAGGCTCGGCGGAGCCACGAAATTTCACGAGCGCGTGTCGCCGCTTCGACCAGTCCTCGTTTGTGAGCGCGAGAGGGAAAGACAGTCGCTCGCTCGCTCGCACGACAGAGACGGACGCATATTAGGAAGTGTCGCACCGTCCGTCCGCCCGTCCGCGCGTGCAAGAGCGAGCGAGAGAGAGGAAGAGCGGGGCAGTGAAGAAAGAGAAAGAGAGAGAAGTACGACGAAGCGAACCAGAGCGGAAGACGAAGAAAGAGACACATCGCGTGCGGGGGAAGAAAACGGAAGCGGAGAGAAACGGACACACAGAGAGGCGACCCCCTATCACCGCGCGAGTACGTTCGTAATCGCGTCGTTCTCGCGAGCGAGCGAGATAGAGAAAGAGAGAAGACCATCGAAGAGGAGACGGAGGAAAAGAGAGTAAAAAGTGAGTCGAGTCGCGAGACGTCTCGTCGTCTTCTTCTTCTTCGTCGTCGTCGTCGACCTGCGATCTTGCGGAGCGCGTTGTCAGCGGGTGAATCGATTACTCGTCCGTGTGTAACCTCCAAGTCTCTCTCGCTGGACGTCGCGAGGAGACCAGGAGGCAGTCGGCAAGGAGGTGCGGGAATCGGGAGGGGGCGAAGGGGAGCGGGTGGCTGATGGGGGGCGGGCGAAGGGGAAGGCCTCGACGACCCGAGCCATCGCCTTGTCGTCGTCGTCGTCGCCGCCACCGCTGCTACTGCTGCTGCTTCGCGTTCGGCGACTCTCGTGCGTCTACGAACTGAATTTTTCGAGCGTGTCGCGGCACCCCCCGCGCTCATGTCACGGCTGTATACGCCGCGGTTATATCGAGGTATCGTGGCCGCGATCAAATTCACGCGAGCCGCCGGTGAGCCCGAAATCGCGCCGCACGGCGGTGGAATCTCGTTCCCGTTGTCGTCGTCGTTGTCGTCGACGGTGCGTCCGATGTGCCGCGATTCGAGATCGGATCGATCGGCGGGATTAAACGGCCGGTTGCGCCGGCACGGTGTTCTCGGTTATCTCTCTCTCTCTCTCTTTCTTTCTCGGTGTTCTGTCTCGATCAATTTGCTCTCTTTGACTAAAGCGGCACCTACTACACACGGTCGGTATTGTTGCGCTGTAATTTTGTCGGTACTGATATCGGAGACCAATGTAAGGGCCGAACGCGAAAAATAAGGGGACACGCACATATAACAACGTTGTTTCAGCGCGCGCACGCGACCCGAGACACATCGTGGACATGTATCGTCGTAAGAGTCTTCCTGCACTGAGCTCTCGTCGTCGTCGTTGCGTCTACGACGATTATCAGCGCGTCTCGCTGCTTAACAGTTCGCGATTCAATGTATTTTTAGTTGCCGCATGATGTACACACACGAGATCGGAGGAAGAAAGTCGGTCCTAAACGCGACGCACATAACCTTACCGGTCCGCCTCGCAGGGCTCGTTTCTTCGGTTGTCCGTAATTGAAAAGCAGGCGCGTTTCTCCGACCTGCACTCTCCTCGTCTCCCTCGTTGACTCGTGCGTTTATCCGTCGAGAAAACTAGACGATTTCGTGCTCACACTGCGCGAACAGAATACAGGGTAAATAGAACCGGACGAACATCAGCGTCGAGGTCTGACAGAGAGAGAGAGAGAGAGAGAGAGAGAGAGAGAGAGAGAGGGAGAGATTGATGAATACATAGACAGATAGATAGGTAGATAGATTGATTGATAGATTGATTGATTGATTGATTGATTGAGGGAGAAAGAGGAGTAGGTTGTGTATGTTGCATTTTTTCAAGGTTCGAATTTCGCGCTCGCGTACGAGACAAGTTCCTGATTTATCATGCCGCCATTATGCGCTTTGCTGCACCTGGTACACTTACATCGCGGCAACATCGCGTTAGCCCGCCGGTCTCGGCTTTCCTCCCGATATTACGGCAGCAGATGAGCAAAAAGAGAAATTATTTCCCCCCGCCTGGAGAAATCCGCACACTCGAAACTAGGTAAAGATTCTCGAAGACGCCGAGTTGACGATTATCGATGTGTGTCGATCGCGCTACTGACGGCGATACTTTTTTCCTCCCCTCCCCGCGTTCCCTGCTCGCCGCGAGGCTCTTCTTCTCGCGGAGCCTTGCGCGATGTCGCGCGTGCTTCGTGGATCGCACTCAAACGTCTCGCTCCATGTCATTCGAATCGCGCGCAGCTGAATGGATTCGAGCAGAGCGACCCGGCTTACATAACGCCAGGCTAAAAATAGAAACGATTAATTTGTTCTGTTTACGGCCGATCTACGCGTGCGTCCGGCTTGGCCAGCCGAATTCTTTTTTCCCAGATACCGCTCGGCATTCGCCGAATATCCGCGATAAGGTTTGCCGCCGCCGCGCGCGCACAGGAGGGCCGCCTCCGTAACCCTGAGCGAACCTCTGCCGAGGTGAGGCGCCGATCGATCCGTTCGATACTCGCACTCGTGGCTCACTCGACGGACCGACGAGCCGTTAATCTCGACTTAATTATAATTGACGATGAAACGCGCGACCGGACGAGCGATTAAAAAGTAGGTTAAACGCTCGGCAGTTCTGTAGACGCGCGTGCTTGGGCCATTTGCAGGGATCAATCGCCGCGGAACTCGGGGAACTCGTCGTGTGTGCGTGTGTGTGAAGCCGCGGGGGAAGCAGAGAGCAAACGGAAGTGTTGCGAGGAACCCGTGGACGCCACCGCCGACACTGACACCGCCGCCACCGTCGCCGCCGACCCGAGGTGGCCACCCGTTACATCGCGATCGAGAGAGAGTGTGTAGTGTGAGATCAATAATGAGACAGGTGCTCTCATTGGTGGTGTAAAGCGATGCGGCGGAGCTGAGAGTTTTGTCAGAGGCGGCACTAGGGGCTCATGAAAAGTGCATCCGGTGTGCGTACCGCCGCTGTAAAAGACCGCCGTGCCGCGAAGACATTCGAGGACAGCGAGTTGGATATCAGTGTAATTTATAATGTAGTGCCAACTTTGCAGATGGATAAACAGGGATGACTGATAACTGCTGGAACTCTGGTGGTGGTAAGTGTCTCAATATACATCCACAAACACCCACCCCTTCTCCCTCTCCCACACACACACACACACACACACACACACACATTTGTGCGCCACGCTTACGCTCGAGACGCTGTTGAGATTCGTGAAAACGTCGGTAGAGGCGGGAAAGAATGAAAAGCCGAGTGACAATGAAGAGAAGGCGATCTTATTTCCGAAAAATGTCGCACACGATATTTTTAAAAGCCATAGTTCATGTCACGTATGCTGTAGCTTCTCATCGAAATATCGTGTGCGATATCTTTCGAGAA